GCTTTCCAGCTTTTCCATTTTGTTCATTTCCATATTGTAAAAATCATTAACCTACAACACAAAAGGGAGTGGATCCAGTCATTCTGATCATTTTCTAATTCTCCATCATCTTTTTTCAGGTTAAATGAGCTGCAGTTAATAAACGAATTAACTGTAAAATGTGGTCTTTTTTCTTTCCTCAGTTCTTTTTCCACATGTTTGCAGACCACTCCTTCTCTCCCTCTCGATTGGATTATGTGTCCATGCTGAAGTACTTTGCTGCAGACCCCAACCCCACACAGGGCTTCATCCGAGCACTTAGCGTGGTCCTTGGTCAAAAACTCACGCATTCCTCACTGAGCCATCTTGTCAAAGTGAGTATGTAAAAGGAAAAGTATCATGCAAAATCACTGCATTGCATTTCACATTATCATTGTGGGTTGTGTATTCAGTCTATGCCCATCATAGAAGAGAATGGAGACCTCTCCTCCTCTGAACTTGACTACAAGGAAGAAGGGGCTCTCAGTGCATCAAGCATTTTGGGAGATGAGCAGGAAGTGTCGATCCCTGTTCTCCTTTCTGTCATCTGCCACAAAATCACTAAGATGGAAGACAAAAGCCACGTTCCCTCCGGCAGCCCGAATCAGAAGGAGCACACTGCGGTATAGATGCCTATGAGAGCTCAAACTGAGCATTTAGTAAATTTAATAAATAAAAATTACAACTAAAATAAATGAAGGATTAGATTAATTTGGAAAATGAATAAATGTAGAAAAATAGGTGAGGTCTTATCTCAGCAAGGCTTTGTAATTTATGTAAGTCTTACAAGATCACACACTTGTTACCTTCCAGGCACTATGTTTAGTCTTTTAATGGTACTATGATTGAGGTGCTGTCAAAATAAGATGGACCCCTGAAGAAAATCGAAAGTATAGCAAACTGTCAGTTGTTGTATGTGTGTAATAGCAGAACTGAAGAATAGATGCATTTCCAAGGACAGGATTAGGAGCCATTAGGAGCAATGCTAACAAAGCGTATCATGACCATGAGCATAAATAATAACCATAACACTAAGCACTTCTCTAATGATAATACTATTACTGTCTGCTGGCCTGCAGAACCTGGTGGAAGTATTCAGAGAGCTGGGATATGATCCTGAGGACCATGTCCCTTTTTCCATTCTCTCTCAGCATCCTTCTGTTCTGTCGCTGATGGAGAGTTGTACACACCACCAGCTTGTGGTAAGTTTCTACTTACTGACTCACCAGTATTGATCATAGTTTGTTTTTTACTCTGACCCATGGCTTCAGTGAGAGTCCAACATTGCATAATCTTTGTCCTCTCCTACACTGATCAGTCATGCCTACTTATCTACAGTTGTGGTTTACGTGCACTCATCATGAGTTATTTGGAGCTCTTGATGATTTCTTTGAATTGTTCTTTTGCACAGTATACATCTTTAATTACTTTTAAAAAATGCGGTGCAAATATTTGGATTTTTAAAAAAATATTATTTTCTCTAATCACACAATTTCAAAAGTATGCAAACGGGCATACTCATATACGATATTTGCCTATTTTTTGCTTAGCAAGTTGCACCTTGACCAAAGGACCAAATGCTTTTGATTACCATCAACAAGCTTCTGACATAATTCTGGCTGGATATTTGACAACTCTTCTTGGCAGAAACTTCATCCACCCTGGAAAAAGAACACTTTAAAGAAATCATTAAATGCCCAAAACGATGATGGCTGTAAACTCAACTGCATATTTAACATAATGTGCAAATGTATTCTCACTGAGTATTCTCTCACTGTCCTTCAGAACATTCATGGAGTGTTACTGGACAGTCAGCATGGAGGAGAGACTAACAGCTCAACACTTTCATAAAGGATAAGATAAAGACATAATTCTGGCCGCACTGTGAAGAACTCTAACTTGGGAAATGCACAATTTTGAAGTGTTCTAATTATTTTAATGTTTAAAATGCTATGTTAATAGGTGTGCATCCATACACTGGTGTTGTACTACATATTTGAGAT